ATCTAACATGAGTAAAATATGCAAATTAAAAGTTTAAATACCTATCAACTTCTAATAAGATTTACTGTAAAAGAGAATCAATTTTTTAATAAAGTTTCAAATGCCTCACAGTTTATACAAATTCAGATATATTTTTTTTTAAAAAAAAACTTATAAACAGAATTAAGAAAATGGATGAGAATGATATTTCCGACATCACTTCATTTTTACTTCAAGCTGTCAAAACATTAGGTCAACATTACGAACTATGTTAGATAAATTCAAAGATAAATGTAATGAAACAAAAATAAAATCACCCAAATATTTTTCTTGATGATTTTAGTTGCGACTGTTCAATCAAAGTACTGCAAAAATATGAGTTCGTGAATAAATGATATGGAATTTAGCTCTTTGAGTTATCTTCATTCGAAAGAGGTAGAATTAGAAATGGGCACCAAGAGCATCATGCCATGCATACCTGCAATAATGCATGCGCATGATGTGCACTTAAGTGCTTGTATGATGCTAAATGATAATCATAGTGATAATCATGACCAATTGCAAGTTAACAAAAAGTCTAAAAGTCTGTAATAATTAGCATTAGATGTTAGTATTGTTAGTGGCAAACCTGTACATTCCCTGATCTCGAAGAACTGCCTAAAATGGATAAACAGTGAGTCCTGAATCGATGCCGCTAAGCCCCAGAACAATTACCATTGTCAGGCCCGAAATGGTAAAGTAATCTGCATTAACCCGATTGATGAAAATACAAGTTAAAATGAGTCAATGAGTTAATATTGCCTTGTGAAGTAAAGCTTGTGGCCATGTGGGTGTGTTTCCAATAGATGTAATGGTTGTAGGAACATTGATTGGAAGGTAAAAAGAAGCATTGAATGAGCAAGAAGTAAGAGGCTGTGAAAAGTAAGTGATAAAAAGTTAAATCGAAAAGAAATGAATTGGTTTGGGTTTTATGTGAAAAATAAAGGGAAATGATGTAGAAGCATTTTTGGATGTCAAATATTGTTAGGAAAATAAAGGCTGTGAAGGAAAAAGAATTGGCTAAAAGAAGAAAAGAGCTTGAAGTAAAAGAACAAAATGTGTTAGAATAATAGTGAATTTTTCAAAAATGTTCTTCTTGCTGCTCTGAAAAAACTTATAAAAAGGAATCATTTTTGCTTGAATAAAAGGTGTGTCTTCTCTGCCCTACAAAAAAGTAATAAAGTAATAATTAAAGACCCCTAAAATTTCTACTCAAAGAAAATAAACTTCATAAAATAGAATGTTCTTTCAGGACCCCTTAACTTACCCCATCCTAATTCTTTTAATAATGCTTCTTAACCGTTGCCCTAGATCAGTGTCAAATCGTCCTGCCTCTAAGACATTGAGAAACATTACACAGCATGACCATTTGTCAAGCAACAATTTATTACATTCCTTAATTGCCTTTGTGTGTGTAATCCCACCGATTCACCAGTAACAGTATTAAGAAAAATAATAAAATACTTATTTAATACTTACGTATATATAGTATATACTTAAAAGTTTGCATTTAAAAAAAAAGAATGTACATTACTTGCACTTGAAGGTTTTTTGGAGGGTTTCGCTTTTAAAAGATTTTTTATTTTTCAATACAAAATAATAATAATAATAAAAATCAAAGATATTTTATTTAATTTTACACAAAAAAAAAATTAAATAAATAAAAAAAAAATACATAAAGCTATTTTAAATAATTATTTCACTACACTATTTATTAATATATTTAATATTAAATTCGATTAAATATTTTATACAATAGTTTTTTTTAAAAGCCCTTACAAGATTTTTGGTGATCGATTTTATATAAATTAAAAAAAAAAATTTTTTTACCTAATTTTTTACTTGCATTTTTTCTTGTAGTCTTCAGCTGAGTTCTTGGTGGATTCAAGTTCATGACTTAATGTTGAATCTTAAATATTTCAATAACTAAAAGTTTTAGTATATATATATATAAATTAGTTAGTATATTTAATATTCTAATTAACATTTTTATCATATTGTATATGAATAGTAATGCCATTGCCCAATCCAATATGAAAATTTTTTTGTCAATTGGAACATATGCTTGGATATAAGTAGAAGTAAAGACAATGTAAAATTTTTAGGTTTGAAATTAATAATTTACTAAGATTAGTCCATAACATTTTCAAAAGTGTTCTAAAATTACAATAAATCAAAAAAGCATTATTTTGGAGATGATTATGAATAAAGTGTTAACAAAACTTCTATAAGCACATCTACTTCAACTTCATTATTAGGATTTATAGATTCTATTTCAAAAGAAAATCAGGAGTTACTTGAAATGGCATTCGCAAAGTCTATATTTCAATGTGGTTTTTTTTTATCACTATCTGAAATAGAACCTGTAAAAGATTTATGTCAAAAAGCTAAACCAGTATTTAAACTTCTAAATAGAAAAAACTTTCTACAAAGCTGTTGGATTGTATTTTTGATGAAACCAAACATAATATTGAAACTTTAATTAATAAAAGTGAAAACATATGTCTCATATCTGATAGATGGTCTGATTTAATACAACAATATTGGACAAATTATATTTTAACTACTCCCAAACCTGTTTTTTTTAAAGCATATCCAACTGATAAAACATGATAAAATATTGAAACAATTGCTTAAGAACTTGATAAAATTATTATTAAAGTTGAGTCATCAAAAATCTTAGTTTTAATTATGAATAATGCTTTTGTTATGAAGAAGGCATGGCATATACTAGAAAAAAAATATTCTAAACTTTTTTTTTAGATTGTATAATGCATAACCTAAATCTTTTAATTGGTAATATCTTGAAGACATCATGAAATGCTAATATTTTAAAAAATGCTAAGGAGATTATTTTATATTTTCAATTATATCAAATTCCAATAGCTATTTTACGAAGACATTAATTAGCAACTTATAAATGCTACATATTCTTGAAATTGCCAATTAAAACATGTTGAAGATCTTCTGCAATCTGTTTAAACTCAATATTAAAAAATTAACTTGCACTTACATTAACTATTATAGAATTGGCATACAATAAACATGAAAAATTACTCAAATTAATAAATCAAACTATTAGAGATAAAGCATTTTGAAAAAATATTGAATTATTTTTTTTAATATTAGATAGATTAATTGTTGGGATTTTATTATTTGAGGCTGATATGCCATGATTATCATTACTTTATCTTTGGTATCATGAACAGCTAGAATTTGATGATAAATAACTAATCTATATATTATACTTAATAATTAAGTTTTAATAAAGTTAATATAATTTTTTTAGAAATAAACAGCCAAATTAAAGTTTTATTTAAAAGTTAATAAAAAAAAATTTATCATCCTGTTATTGTATTGGCACATTTTTTAGATCCACAATATCATAATTGAAAGCTTACTACTAATAGTATGCCAATAACCCACAATTTGTTCAAAAATATTACCCAAACAATGCAAATATTATCTGGCAACAATTAATTGAATACAAAACAAAAACAGGTATATTTAACTTTCAATTAGCATAGAATATGATTAATAATATTAATTCTATTGCTTAGTGAAAAGGTAATTTTGAAACCTTAGCACCTAAATTATGTAAAGTTGCTACTCAAATTCTTGCAATTCTTTCATTATTAGCAGCATCAGAACATAATTGGTCAGCTTTTTACTACATTTAAGAATAAAAAACACTAGATTAATTAATGAATAGGTTTTAAAATTAGTATATATATATAGCAACTATAAACTTACTTGTTCATGACAAGAGTCTTCTGATATGATAAATGCAATAACATGATTTAATAATAGACTAACAAAAAATGAAAAAGATATTGAGCTATTAGATCCAATGGAAGATGATTCAAGTAATTCATATAAAGAAATATTGTTAGAAAGTAAAAGTGAAGAATTGTTTGAATTAGATGCTAAAGAAACTAATAGTGAAACAGATAGTACAGAGAATGAACATGAATAGTATTATTTGCAATTAATATATAAAACCAAATATTATATGTTCTTAATGCATAATAAATTATTGTTATATACAAAAAATATTAATATAAATAAAGTATTAAATACTTAAAGATTTTTTTTTTGCATTGATTAGTTTTATTAATTAAATTTTGTATTGATTAGTTTTATTAATTAAATTTTGTATCAATCAGTTTTATTTATTAATTAAATTTTATATCAAATTTTGTAAGTAAATTTATTTTTATCGAAATTTTATTAATATTAATTACATATATTATGCACATCATGCTTATCATGTGTATTTTTGTATAATGCATATCACATGCTCAAAATGCTGCATTTTGTCCATCTCTATGTAGAATTGAGTAAAAAAAGTATCTCTTAAGTAAGTAATATGTTGAACAATAGTATGATTAAAGAAATGATATATTATTTGCTTTACTTAAAAAATAGCTATAATATTTGTTAATATCCAAAAACAACTTTTGAATTTATGTTGTTTTTTTTTTAATAGTTTATGATAATCAAATCTTATTCTGAAAATATAATCAAACAGAAATTGAAATTAGTGGCTTAACCTGTCACAGATTACAGACATGCTAAAAATTGAAAAGTATCTTTTGTCAATTAAGAACTATTATATTGTTATCATATTTAGTATACATTATTTTGCTAACAAAGTTTACTGTTATTTTCACTTTAAAAACATATTTTGTCTTTGTATGTGTTTTGTTAATAAAACAGACCATGAAATATCATTAATAAATTATGCTACATGTCAATTAATAAAAATTTTTACATCATTTTATTTTAAAAATAAATAATTTGTAGCAATTTACTCTGTGATATTAATATTGTTGCATTCCTTAGAATTTATTGCATGTCTTTTAAATTATGTATTAATGTCATTAATAAACAAAAATTATTTGTTTATACTAACTAATTATTATATGTATAAATAAATAAACATCATTACAATTACTAACAAATGAACATTGTCAAGATTACTGTATTTATTGATGTATCAATATATGAAGAATGTTACAATTACTGTGCTTTATTCTTAAAGACAAGATAATAATCATTAATTCATGACAACTTGTCATATGTAATTAGTTTATTAGTATTAGCTTTAAAATATTTAAATAACATAGATTTACAATTCATAAGAAAAAAAAATAAATAATTGAAATTTAATAAAAATAAATACTTTTCTAAATTAAAAATATTTTAAATCCAACTGATAAATTAAAGTAAACCCAAAAATGAGAAAATAATTTATTATACATTATATCCAGTAGCAATTCTATTCTCTCTAAATATGACTCAAGTTTAAATTAAACAACTACTTCAATTTGTAATATATTGACAAAAATAAAAAAGCCTTAATGCATAATCTCATATTCATATATACTCTATTAGACAACTAATCAATAGAACATATTAATATTGCTCGATCAGAAACTTTATTGTTATTTGAAGAAAAAACATATAGGAATAAGTTCACAATTATGCATATTCTACCTTTACAAAGAGGTGACCTGTGCACTTCTTAATGGCTAACCTCAAACAAACTAACTATTACAGTCCCTACTTCTAAATTTCCTCTTATTTCTGCACTATTCTGATCCTTAGACCAAACAACTATCCTGCTCAATAAACTATCTTTTTAAAATAATGCTAAACAATCTTATCAGAATGATAAATAATATTTGCATAGATAAAAAGAGAATTGAGTTGTTAAATGATATGTGCCTCTTCACATGTATCTATAAACTTTTTCATGATTCTTATACTGTTATTACAGCTGCAGAGCCAAAAACAATTGAAGGTCCTTGTACTGCTAAAGCAGTCATGAAGCCCCATTCTCATAGAATAAACTAAGGCCCAATTCTGTAGTTATTGCACTGTGAATAATTACTGAGCCACTTACTATTCAGAAAGCAGATGGAATAATAAGCCAGCCTTTTCTAAGGTTACTGATGATGAAACAAAAGATGACTATTATCTCTTAAACTGTCATTCTTATAATGCCCTCACCTTTCCTTACTATTCACATGTACATGCCTTTTCTCAAACCTCTGGGCTGATAATCACTACTCTTTTGCTGATATTCATAGCAACTTAAACAATAATTAATCATATGCAATCATAAACCTAGCATCATTATAAGCCTGCATCTAACAAAAACTCTAATAAAAAACATTAGACTAACCTACAATAGAACATAAACAAACCAAATTTGCAATAAAATCATCTGATCTCACAATAATGAACACTCTGTTACTTCATTGACAAGCTATCAAAAATTAATAACTAATCAACAACTAATTAACATAACTAGTGTTTGGAACCGGTTTTATTTTTCTTATCTTAAAACCAGTTTTAATTGGATTTAACATAAGAAAAATAAAACCAGTTTCAAACTCTAAACATCATATTATAAAAATTTATATAATTTAAATAACTAATCAACACTAAATCACAAAATTGTATACAAATTAAAATTTAAATAATTTTATCAGCAAATTTTATTTATCATATCAGAAAACAGAATTCTAGAAACAATGCAAGTTTGCAATTTGTTATAAATAATTATTATATATTTATTTATAATTCTGATTTTAGAAATGATATATAGAATTTGCTAGACACAGTAATTCGAAAGGTGCAATAAACAACTTGGAAATAACATGATTACACTTTATTTTTACTAATTCATTATCTCATGAACTATTACCACTTACAGGAGTGACTGTCCAAATATGTAGATAATCCTGATATTGCTATACAAATAATAAATGATTTTTTACACATAATAAAATACACCTATTAGAAAGCTCAAGTAACTTAACTTCTATAAAATGCAGTAAGTATAATGGATTAATTAACACTTTCATCTCATCTTGTAACATGTATATTTAATCTCAACAACTTTTTTGTAATTTGATTAGCTAATTTACAAGGTTGTTTACTAACATTTATATATAACCTTATTAAAATTATCTACATATTCAGACTGTAGTCACCATCTACTTCAATAGAAATCATACAAATTATACAAATTCAACTACTTTATGCTCATCAACATAACTATGCTTCATAAATTCAACTTCCTCAATGTATCCTTTATTCTTGTTTTATATATGATGATCGAATTTGACATTTTTGGTATAATAACAGATGAATAAACACTTTCGTAATAATTACATCCAAATAAATAAACAATTATATCACTAAACTGATTTTTGCAGAGTAGTTTTCTGGCAGTCATATAATTTTAGCATGAAACCTTAACAAATACACAAATATTAGTTAAAATAATAAAATTTTATAATGATAATTACATCACCTTTACTTTATAATAACATGATTTGAAACAAATTACAAACCAATAATACAAAATTATACATAATAACTTATAGATAAGTACTTAAACCATCACATTTAGCTAATCCACATTACAGTTCTAATCTTCACCTATTATATTAATTATTTAATGTCGATGGTTCTTCCAGTTCCACTCATTCTAAAAAAAATATTTATCATTTGATCCTAAGTATTCTAGTATATAACATAAAATACACAATATAAGATTTCTTTGCTGCTCACATAGTCAACAACAACCTTTCTATAGAATTATTTTAACTTTATTTGCCAATTACTTATATTGATTTTCTTTTATCAATAATTAACTTGCCTATTTGAGAACTTGCTTTTGGCTCTTAAGTAAACTTGTTCAGCACTAAATTTTACATTTATCCTGAAAGTTTCAAGTCTTTAGGA